GCCCGCGGCAAGGAGACGGGACAGGAACGGCAGCCCGGAGAGCTGAGCACACGGAAACACTTACCTGTGTATATGAGCCTCATGCATTCGCGGCCGCAGCCAGTGCTGCAGCACGTGAGTCCTCTGGGACACCTAACACCGCACCGGTCCTCACAGCTCCCACCCTGCAGGGGTGGAGGGCACCTGCCCTGGTCCTGCTGCTGGTCGTCTGCAGCAAGACGTCTCCGTGTCAGGCCGGCCGCGCTGCCCCACCTCGGCCACCCCCAGCCCGGCCCAGCCCCATGCGCAGAGACCGCCCGGCAAGGAGCGAGGAGACTGCCCGGGCACGGCCCCACCGCAGCTCAGCCCGGGCTGGGGGCGCGATGGCACCGGAGCGGTGCCCCGGGCCTGCAGCCAAGGGCTGGGCTCCCTGCTCTGCCCGCTCCCTGCTGCCCACGCCACGGCTGCACCGGTACCTGGCACAGGCTCCACGCAGCGCCGGGCACATGCGTTGTAGCAGCACTTCTGCTGTCCCCGGCACTCCTCGTCGCGGCGGCACTGGTCCTCCTCGGCACGGATGCACCGGATGTAGTCAGGAGGGCACTTCCCGGGCTTCACTGCAACACAGGGCACCTGTCAGGGGTGCAGGGGACACGGCCTGGCCCTGGCAGACACCTCTGCTCCAGGCTGCTTCCCTACGGGGCCGCAGGTGCCAGCGGGCTGATGGGCCATTGCAGCTACTGCCACCGGCTCCCTCCCACGCACCCAGGTTGGGCACGCGGCCTCCGGAGCCCGGGTGCAGCCGTACCAGATGCCCTGACACCTGTCCCTTTTGCGGGCGGAGAGAGGCCCTGGCACAAGCCTACCTGGAGTGCGCCAGGCTGCAGGCCCTGCACCTCCTCCTCTGGAGCCTCTTGCTGAGCTCCTGGCTGCACGGCTCCCTGACCTTTCCGTTTTTGCACTGCCTGTCCGCAGCCCCCCAGGGCCCAGGACCTCCTGGTCAACCTCCGCCTGGCCTGGGCCACGCCGGTGTGTACGTGACCAGGAAGGAGGCTCTGGCCGGGAGGGCCCCGGGGACCGCGGGGACGCTTCCCTCTCCCTGGCCTGCTCCCGTCTCCGGGCAGAGCACCACGGGCAGTGTCCGCCGGCACCGTGGACCCGTTGGAGGGCCGGTGGGCGCTGTGCAGTCACTCTGCTCGGGGTCGCTGCTTGGTGCGCTTATCTGAAACTCTGACCTGCGCTCCCATCCCTGTTTTTCATCCGTGTCCCAAGAATTCGGTTGTCCCCCTTGCCTGTAGCCTGCCCGCCTAATGGAGACCAGCAGGTACCGCGGTGGGCTGGGCCCACGACTCCAACGTGGACAAAGCGAGCTGCCGCGGCGAGTGAGCCGCGCTCGCCCAGACACAGGCAGCGCCTCTGACCTGTGCGGGGACCCGGGGTCTCTGGGCACCTCCATGGCTCTCTCCCACCCCGACCGCGCCAAAGCCGCTGGTGCCCGATTTCCCAGCACCGAGCTTTGCTTTCCCTCCCCCTTGTCCTGCCGCAGGTAGGGGCCCAGGGCGCAGCAGTCTGGCCCCGGGCTGCAGGCTGAGGAAGGACCCCTCGCAATATGGTTTTGAACAACTCTCAGATTTGGAATCGATTTGGCTGATTTCACTTGGAACACAAAACATTTTGCTTAAAAATGAGAAATAAAAAACTGCAGCCGGTGCCAGGCCCGAGCTGAAATGACGGGGGGACTCTTACCTGCCTGTATGCCTGGCATGCAGACATGGCCGCAGCCATTGCTGCAGCACTTCTTCCCCTGGGGACACTGATGGTCGCCACCACACTCCTCCACACAAGTCCCAGCACCCGTGGGCGTGGGGCACTTGCCGGGTCTCTCTGCAGCAAGAGGTCTCCGTGTCAGGCTGGCAGCGCCGCCCCACCTCAGCCACCCCTACCCCACCCCACCCCACCCGCTGCCCCAGGCACAGAGACCACCCGGCCGACAGGCCCCACCATGCGCCCACGTCCCCTCCGCTCCCCGCCCCGAGCCGCCACCCATCTGCAACGGGCAGCTTGCAGGCGGTGCCGCAGCCGGTGTTGCAGCACTTGGCCGCGCCCTGGCAGTCGTTGTCAGTGTCACATTGCAGGGCACAGGTCCCCATGCCGTCCGGGGGCAGCGCCTGGGCTTCACTGCAACAGAGCACCCCACGGCTCTGAGGATGGGGGTCTTGGGGCGGCCAGAGAACGGGGCGGCGGTGCGAGAGACAGGCCACCGCGCGGCTCTGAGCTCAGGGGTCCCAGGGATGCCCGGGCAACACCCTGGCAGCGGGCGGACTTGGTGATCTTCTTTATGGGTCTATGACTGGCCCCTTGTCCCTGCCTCCCTGCCCACCCTAGGAACTGCACCACCCCCGGGAGTGGCACCAGGGTCTCCTGGAGCTGCAGGCAGTCGGTCCCGGGGGTGCTGGTGTGTCCCAGCCCCTGCGGCGCTGCCCTCACTCTCAGGACATGCATGGTGCAGGGCCGGGGACCCCGGGGAGCTGGCAGACGTGCTCTGGTCCAGAGGGACGCGATGCCACCAGGCAATGCCCTCGCAGCATGGCAGCTCCCACCCCCCTGCCCAGTGCTAACAGCCCCGCCGGGATGGGGAGGTGGGAGGCAGGGGCTGGAGCGGGCTTGGGGCTCCGGGCCAGGGGAGCACTCACCTAGAGGGACCTGCCCAGACGCAGGCTGCAGCGCGGCCCAGAGGGCGAGGATCCCCACCAGCAGGAACAGACTGCCCCGCTGCATGGTGCTGCCGTGCCCAGTGCCAGGCCGGCCGCGCTATATATGTCACCCTGCCCGGAGGGGGGAGGACCTTGCACAATGCCCCAGCTCGGCCCCTGCCCCTCCCAAGGGCCGGGCCATTCGGGAGACGCCCTGTGCCTCTGTGCAATGGGACGTGTGCCAGGCGCATGACAAGCCACACAGGCAGTTGCACCTGCTCCCTGCTCTGCCTCTTCCAGCACGGCTCTCCCGGGCAGCACCCAGACCCCATCGCCAGCTTGAACCCCCCTGCCCCGGGCACCAGTGCTGGGCCTGGGACCTGGGACGTGCATACGCGTCCGCCTCCCTGCTCTTGATCACGGCCCGGGGGGCATCTCCTGCCCAGCCAGACGGGCCGGGGCCTTCTCCTTCCTGCCCTGGCTCTGCACGGCTGGGTGCCAGCGCTGCCTGGGCCAGCCAGCGCTGGGGAGCAGAGCGCACCTGCCAGCCCGTCTCCGCACCCACACCAGGGCTGGGATCCGGACGGGGGCCAAGGACCCCCTGCCCCCTGTGCCATGCTGGGCGCTGCTCCCAGCTCTGCGGGGGGGGCAGCAGCTGCAGCCGGCCCTTGCACAGTCCCATACATGCTGGACACGGAGCTACGGGAGCAGGGCAGGGTCCCAGGCTATTTGGGCTGAGGGGACCAAAGGACACAGGGAGCTGCTTCTGCATTTGACAGCAGATCCTGCAAAGGGCGAGAGACGGGAGAACCCAAGAGGAGGCAGACTGAACACGTGAGAGGTGTGCGATACGCGGGGGGGGGCGCAAAGCATGCTATGCTCGAGCGCCCGAGGGGAGAAGCGGGTGCGGCTCCACCTACAAGACCCGGGCGGACACGAGGCCTGAGGGATCTCCGCCCCGTCACCCAGAAGGACTTCCTGAACCCTCGGCTGCAAGGAGCCGCTCTGCCCCGCGACTACACGCGAGCTAGGCGAGGCTCTGTGGCCTTTTGGGCTCGTGCTGCATTTGCAGTTGGCTCCGGTGTGCACACTTGCACTGGGTGCTCCAGTGTGCATGCTCACACATAGGGTGGGTGCTCTGGTGTGCATGCTCACACACTGGGTGGTACCAGCGTGCATTCTTAAACACAGGGTGCTCCAGTGTGCACGTTCACACTGGGTGCTCCGGTGTGCACGCTAGCACACAGGGTGCTTTGGTGTGCACGCTCGCACTGCGTGGTACCGGTGTGCATGCTCTCACTGGGTGCTCCAGTGTGCACACTCATACACTGGGTGCTCTGGTGTGCACGCTCGCACACAGGGTGCTCAGGTGTGCATGCTCACACACAGGGTGGGTGCTCTGGTGTGCACACTCACACACTGGGTGGGTGCTCTGGTGTGCACACTCGCACACAGGGTGCTCAGGTGTGCATGCTCACACATAGGGTGGGTGCTCTGCTCTGGTGTGCACACTCACACATAGGGTGGGTGCTCTGGTGTGCACACTCACACACTGGGTGGTACCGGTGTGCATGCTCACACACAGGGTGGGTGCTCTGGTGTGCGCACTCACACATAGGGTGGGTGCTCTGGTGTGCGCGCTCACACACAGGGTGGGTGCTCTGGTGTGCGCGCTCGCACTGGGTGGTGCCAGGCTGCATCGGCGCTCCGGTGAAGTTTCTCTGCTGTTCTTTGCTGCGTGCTTGAAGTTGCCGACTGCCATGCGCAACAAAAGCTGTCCGCGGCACAGACACTTCTGACTCAAGCGTTTCTGAAGTCGGTGCCACCGCCTATCATCTCATATTCAGTGTGGTAACGAGCCGTGACTCAGGGCCCTCCCAGCCTGAACGCTGCCAAGCCTGCCCAGCGCCGCGGCAGGAGCGAGCGGAGGCCCACGCCCCGGCTACCTGCCGGCAGCCTTTGCTGCCAAGCCCTGGCCGCGAATGCAGGACTGCGTCCGGTCCCGGCGCCGCGCTTCAAGAAGGAGGCGGAGAAGCTCGAGAGAGCCCGGAGAAGAGCCGCTCGTATGATTAGAAAGGCCGACAGATACGGGACTGTTCAGCCTAGGGAAGAGAAGACTTTGGGGGACGTGGTGGCAGCTCACAAACGCTTCAGGGGAGAGCATCGGGGCTCGGCGAGCAACTGTTCACCGAAGCGCGCCGGGGAAACCAGGAGCAATGGTCATAAACTCCGAGAAGGCGGTTTCAGCCTGGACGTAAGGAAAACACCGACCCAGGAGATGTTCAGACGGGGCCGGGACGCGCAGCTTGCTGGGGTTGTTTGCCCGCCGCGGTCTTTCCTGCCCGGAGCAGGGGGCTGCACCCAGCGATCTCGCCCGGTCGCTTCCAGCCCCGAACTTCTGTGAATCTGTGGGTTACCCCGAGGGGCAGGGGGGTGCCCAGCCGGAGCCTTGTGCTGCCCCTGCCCCTGTCCTGCAGGCTGGCGGGACAGCATATAACCGGGCTGGCCCGGCGCTGGGCACCGCGGCACCATGCAATGTGCTGGCCTGCTGCTGCTGGCGGGGCTCCTCGCTCCCTGGGCCAGGCCCCAGCCCGCGGCCGGCCAGCGACACGTAGGTGAGCGCTCCCTGCCCGGCCTCCTCCACCCCGGGACCCCTCGGCCCACCAGGATCTGCTGGCCTGGGTGCAGCATGCCGTGGGGCTGGTGCCCAGAGGTCCCCCAGAGACGGCCCACGAGAGGCCATGGGCTGCAGAGCTGGGGTGGGGAACGGGGAGCTGTGGCATCCCAGCCGGGGCCGGGCCAGGAGCTGGCAGGAGAGGACAGGCGGTCGTCTTGGGACTCGCTCACACAGGGATGTGCCTCCAGAGCCCTCCTAGCCTCGGGATGTAGAAGCGAGTCAACTTACCTGAAATTCGGCTAGTGCATTAGGGATATGTATTTTAATTGTGTAATCAAAGGGTCCTCGAACCCTTTCTGTTTTGCTCAAGGCTTTTCTCTCCAAAATCTCTTTGGTCTTTATCGACCATCTTCTCTCTCTCCCGGAGCATAAAAGGCTACCTGCACGCAGCGAGCGGGCGGCGGATTGCTGGGGGTGAGACAGCTAGCCGAGCAAAGGGAGCTATAACGGCGAAGGCAGGATCCACTTTTTCCTGTCCTCTGGTAGAGGAGGCTACGTTTGAGTGCTTCAAGCTAACGGAAGCAGCCCAAGCTACCATGGTGGGGCTAAGCACGCTCGGGGTCTGTGTACAGAGCCCCGAGGCCAGAGCCCGGGTGGCGGCAGCGATAGCTCCAGGCTTGCGGGTGTGCTCCAGGAAGGGGCACGGCCAGACATGGGCACCCCAGCGGAGACACCCCAAGTGGGGTGGGGCGGCTCAGCGTAGCACCGCCCTCTACTGTCCTGCCCACCACACGACCCGCCCCAGGGCACTGGGATCTGCATGGAGCTGTGCAGCAGCGATGAGGACTGTTCCCAGGGGCAGAAGTGCTGCAGCAATGGCTGCGGCCACGTCTGCATAGATGTCCCTGTGGAGAAATCCCTTTTATCTGTCGGATAAGAGGGCCATGCAGCGTGCACAGAGGTCCCTGGTCCCCTGCTGCCAGCGTCCCTTGGGATTGCCAGTCCCCGGTGCTCCCCGCAGGTGGCAGGGACCAAACCCGGTGCCAGGCACTAGTCCTGGGGCTGCACAGCCAGGGCCCCTTCCCCTTGCATGGGGCATGGGGGCACCGCAGCCTGAGGGGGGCTGCCCAGCACAGCCCAGAGACAAGGGCTCCCCGCAGCCCAGCCCGAGCGCTCGGGTTCCCTGCACCGTGGGCTGCTCCCCAGGACCCTCCCTGTGCAATCCTGCCCGGCCGTGGCTACATGGGGGCAAGCCCAGGGACCCAGGGCCCCCCAGGCAGGGCAGGCGCTGCCCCTTTCTCGCCACCCAGGGCTGAGGCAGGAGCTGGCAGGAAGCCTGACGGCCATAGCCCTCAGCACCCGCGTCCCAGCTCAGAGTGGACACCCACACTGACGAGCAATGGGTGCAGCGACCCGAGACACCCCAGCCCAGCTCCATCCCTGCCTGGACCCCAGCCCTTTCCACCCCCCCACACGGCCCCAGCCAGGGCCAGGACGCCAGCCCTCCTCTTCCTCCCCTGTGGCAGCAGGGCTCACAGCCCCAGGCCGTATCTCCCCGGGGCTCGGGCTACAGCCGGCTTCTCCTGGCCCCTCTTGTGCCTGTGCTGCCCCACGGCAAAGGGAACAGTTGCCCCGTCAGGAACCACGATCAGCTTTGCTCGGGCCACGGCGGTTCCTGCTTTGGGAGTGGGGACGTTGCCCGGGGCAGGGCAAACGATGCCCCTTCTCCCTGCCCAGGGCTGGGGCCAGAGCTGGAGATGCAGAGACAAGAGACGCAGGGGAGATGCTGGAAGCCGCAAAGCGGGGTCTTTATTGCATGGAGGAAGGAGCTCCTATCGCAGGTGCGGGAAGCAGACCCCCGGTGCTGGGGGCCACGTGCCCCATCGGTGCCTGGAGCCACACGACAGGCTGTCCCGTGGCCCGGCTCCCGCGCGGGGTCACTCTCGGGGCTGCTCTGTGCGGGGAGGGAAAGTCGGTCAGAGCGGGGAGGGAAGAGTCGGGGACCAGGGAGCTCAGCCCTGCCCAGCGCCCCACGGTGCCCGCCCCAGGGGCGGCACAGGGACCCCCACGGCACGGCCCCGTCTCCATCCACCGGCCCCCCCCG